ACAGATTTATCAGTTATGCATGATCATAAGTTGGTCAAGTTGTGTGTCATATTAAAGTCACAGTAAAAAAAAAACAGGGATGAAATTCATATGGAACAATCAGGGGCATATATTCTGTGCAGTATTGGATATTACAATTCAGCAATGAGTGTTTTTTATGTCAGATCAGAACAGATATTACATTTCAGATTGCATACATACATGCATACAACTTTGACTTGTGTTGTGAATAAAATGGTGAAATTAACAACCCTGTTTAAATATTGTTTACTTGTTCATGATATTCTGTCATGGACATAATGATTCATATCTCCTTATTTGTGTACTACTGTATGTGTTTTGGAATTGTTTTATCCTATAAATGTTGGGTGTTGTCTTGATCTTTAAGGTGTGATTTATGTTCTATGCCTTAGAAGCAGGTGGCATTAATAGTTTTGTGTTGTGTGTTGTAGCTGCTGTAACACGAAATTCCTTAACTAGGAGTGCAACGGACCAGGAGGCAGAGAAAAACATTCAAAGATGGCTTCAGTTGGCACCTGACAGGGATGGAAGAATGAAGGAACATGCAAAAAGGGCAAATGACACTTAGTTACATTTTTTGCAATGTATTTACTTGTTTTGTATTTGGATTTTTTTTGTGTGTGTTTTTGACCACTCAAATTTCACATTTTATTAACCAGTTTTACAGGGCCATGTTCTTAGATATTTTGTATGTTGTAAAGTGCTTTAAATGCCTCATCTGTCTGTTGAAGTTACAAAGTAAAGTGTAATTAAGTATAAATCAGTAGTTTGTTGAAAAGCATTTATATGTTGTTTATAGTAAAACTAAAAATAAACTTTATTGATATCAATTGTGGTTTATGATGTCACTGGGCCTGTTATGGCCCAAATCAGGAAGAACCATGTCTGGGCTGTCACTGGGCCTGTTATGGCCCAAATCAGAAAATCCATGTCTGGGCCGTCACAGGGCCGTCATTCTTTGCGGTATCTGGCCCAGAGGAAAATGAATAGTGTGGGCCAGATCTGGCCCAGAAGAATTTTTCTATCTGGGGAATTTTTTCCTGAGTGGGAACAGGATTCTGCAACGATCCAGGATTTCTTTGGGAAATTGGTCGTTGATGCTGAAGTCCGTTCCTCTGAGCTCCCTGCCTCAGCTTTTCACCAGCTCCTTTTGTTTGAAATGTTCAAACTTGGCCACGATAGGTCTTGGACGCTGAACTTCTTTCCTCACCCCTCCAATGCGGTGGACCCGATGAAACGTGATGTTGGTGATGGTGTCCCGAGGAAGTTTAAGTAATTGTTGTATGAAGTTTCTGATGGTAGCTTCTGCCTCTTCCTCTGCGCGCTCCGGAATTCCGGCGAACATTAAATTGTCCCGCATACTTAGTGCTTGAATATCGAGCAGGGACTCTTTCATGCGCTTATTTTCTGTAGAGAGTTTTGCCATGCGGTCCTTCTGTGAGGGATTTTACGGAGTCTCTGAGAATCTTGTTTTCAGATGCGAGCGATTCAACCTGCTGTTGACTGTACTCCAGAGATTCCTGTAGTGCTTGAAATTCCTTGTGTAGGATTTCTACCAGTGCCAGTCGGGCGTCAAAACTGGAAAGTTTGTTATTAATAGAATGTAGGATATCTCTGTATTCCTTATCCGGCGACGAAGGGCTGTTTGAGGGGCTGTTTGAAGTACAGTACGAGCGGGTTCTCTTCGTGGATGGAGTCGCTTGGTTCTTCTTCATGATGAGTCGCTCGTAACACTCGTAAACGTAATCCTGTAAATCTTCTAAGGTTTCTTCATCCAGGATATAATGAGTGAACTTATCTATCCGACAAAGTACTATAGTATTATTATTTTGGCTTGGTTAAGTTGGCTATCGAAGTAAGTTTTGTTTGTTATTTTTTAGTAGGACGCTGCCATGTTGGATTACGCACAGCTCTCGCGAGATCTTACAGCATTACTCTGCTCTCACAGATTTGTTTTAATAACAACAACAAGCACATCATGGAAACGTTAACATTACAATACAGAGTAATGTCATTGCTTAACATTATATTACTTTTGTCATGTAATGGTAACGACAAACAATATATAATAATTAATGATTAATAATAAGGAGATTTGTACTTACACATGAATGCACCAAAATATTTCATCCAGACTTTTTCCTTAGAAGACAGAAATAGATATTTGCTTCAGTATTACTTGCAACATTTAAAAAAACAATTTTGTCTGATCTTGCAAAAGTTTTGTGAGAAAATGCAAACTCTGACCAAAAGGCAGAAATGATTGTCCAACCGTTGATACAGAGGGCCCACTGTGATTTTGCTTCTAGATGACCGCAAAATCTAAAAAGTGTCTGGCCTTTAAGAAGACAGGATGGTCAAGCCGCATGGTCAACACACTGCACCATGCTGAAGAACCTTCTGAGAATGTGAGACCAGAGCTGAGAAGGCCCCTGGACACCATATGGCCTGATCTCTCAGGCCCAATACCGTTTGAGGAGACAGGACTGAAAGCCTTTTGGGCTTCTGCTGAGAGAGACCAGTGCTCAGGAGTGAGATCCTCTCAGAGGGCAAGCAGATCAAAACTAAACTGCTGACAGGTGAGAATACAGTCAGTTGCCAATCAACATCTGAGCCATTAACCTGTGAGTACTAGGGGTGTCAAAATTAATCGTTTCTACGATGCATCGCGATGCAGA